ACTGCATATCTCTGGAAGTTTTCATAGTAGAATACTGGAACTGGGAATGAAGATTTACATATGACATCAGTCCCATCCTCAAGCTTAAAAATTTTGGCTATTTGAAAAAGCAGCGTGGCGCCTTCCAAACGTACTGAAACTTTTAACTATCCGTGTTTGTGAGTAAACTCCTCCTAAATGCCTGGACCGATTTTAGCGAAATTTTTTGTGCGTGATTAAATGGGTCTTTGGATAGATTGGGTGCACAATTTGCCAACAAGTGGCTCTGGAGTCGAGTTATTTCGAAATTTTGGTGAACATTTGTTGAGTTTTTATATTTTTAGTACAAATGTGGATTTATATGTATGGTGTTTGTTGTACAACTAGCTAGCCATTAATAAAAAATAGTAAACATTAAATAAACCAAAATAAACCTAAGCCTTTCCGTGGATGTGAAATAACTAGGGGTAACTCTAGCTACGAAGCTAACGTGGAAAACTCACGTCGAGTTGAAGGTAAGTCGAGCAGTGAAAGTTTTCGGACAGTGTCGAAAAACCTTTAGCAAGACCTGGGGTCCGAGACCGGCTATGGTATTTTCGATATACATAGCTCTAGTCAAGCCAATCAGAGCAGAGCATAACCGTGGTCAAAACCATGGCTTCTGTGTTAAACAGGCTACAAAAGAGTGTGTGTATAGGCATTACGGCCGCCTTGAGTACAACGTAGGGACGGGCTCTTATTGCTTTGTTGAATTTGCCGCCTCTGGATTTAGCGGTCCAAGAGGAAACAATGAAAACGATGTGTCGACTGCACTCTTTTGGTCTGTGGCACGATGATCGGAGCTCTGGGTACAGAGAATTTTTGAGAAGGTTTTCTGAGCAATATCCTTTGTTTTTGCCACCAAATGACAAACTGATACCTAGAGTCGTAGTGGAGTTGGATGGCATCTGGACGGAAACTTCAGATGTTTTACCGCTTTGGGTTCAATGACAAGCGTCTTTCAATCGTAAGTCTTAGCTATACTGAAAGTGGCAGACTGGATAAGCCCAGCTGCTCTAAAGGCCCTGGAAACCGCTCGCACCTCCTCCAAGTTAGTCCAGGAATCAGTCTAGCACTGGCTCACATTCCCAAGGTGTGGCAAAGGGCTAGGGTTACTTTTATCCCGAAGGTAGGTAAGAGGGATTACTCTCTTGCCAAGTCATTCAGGCCGATAAGTCTCACATCCTTTATGTTAAAGGCAATGGAGAAAATTATTGACCATGAAATCAGGTATAACACTCTAAAACAAACCCCTCTGCATTCCAACCAGCACGCCTACAGGGTGGGGAGATCCACGGATACTGCGCTGTATGCCTTAACGGAGGAAATACAAGGGGCCTTTGAGTGTGATGAGGTGGTGCTCTGTGCCTTCCTCGATATCGAGGGGGCCTTCGATAACGCCTCCCATTTGGGAGTCGACAGAGCTCTTGGGAAACATAACGTTCAGCCAACCATCCGAAGATGGATAGCAAGGTTACTTCAGACCAGGATTGCCGAAACTGAAGTCGGTGACAGCGTCGTTCAAATACAAACGACTAAAGGGTGCCCACAAGGGGGGGTATTATCTCCTCTACTGTGGAGCTTAGTTGTGGACGAACTCCTACAGATACTCACTAACGAGGGCGTCCGCTGCCAAGGGTACGCGGACGACATAGTGATTATCGCTAGAGGGAAGTTCGCAAGCACTCTCTGTGACATCGTCCAAAAAGGACTTAACCTTGCGAAAAGGTGGTGCACAGACGTAGGTCTAAATATCAACCCTTCTAAGACAGCCATAGTCCCCTTCACCAAGAAACGAAATCTCCAGGGGAGGAGGAACTTGACCTTGGACGGGGTCGCAATCAGTGTCGCCACAGAGGTTAGGTATCTGGGGCTTACCCTGGACTCCAAGCTTCTGTGGAGGGCCCATGTAGATGCGGTCACCTCTAAGGCCACGAGAGCGATGATGGTGTGCAAACGTCTGGCGGGTAAATCCTGGGGGTGCACTCCGAGGATCCTCAGATGGATGTACACAATGATAGTGAAACCAATAGTGACTTATGGTGCGGTGGCTTGGTATTCCAGGACTACTATAGGAACGGTGAGGCAGACCCTCTCCAAGATTCAACGTCTGGCATGTGTTTGCATTACGGGAGCAATGCGCACATGTCCGACGGCAGCGCTAGAGGTAATGCTGGAACTCGAGCCACTGCATCTCTCAATTGAACAGGCTGCAAAGCGAACCCTCCTTAACTTTGCGAGAGAGGGCTTCGGCAAAGGCAAGGTGTTATCATCTAGGAACAGGGACAAGCTAGGCACCCAGCTCCCCCTGGCTTTGTTCCCCAGGGACGATATCAACAGAGAGGTGATATTCAAGAGAAATTTCAGGACCCACACTTATAGCAAGGCGACCTGGTGTACCTCTATTATGGAGAGTCACATACAGGCGAGCACAATACAGTGGTACACGGACGGCTCTAAAACACCCGCGGGGATTGGAGCAGGCGTGTACGGCCCTAGGCTGAAGCTTTCGGTGTCCCTGGGGACTTTCCCCAGCATCTTTCAAGCGGAGGTCTATGCCATCAGTATGTGCGCTGAGATTAATATTCGCAGGAACTATAGGAATGAAAGGATACTTATACTAAGTGATAGCCAGGCGGCATTAAAGGCCCTCGCATCATTCGAGATCAAGTCCTCCTTGGTTAGGGAGTGTGTCGAGAGGCTCAATGCTCTGGCGGAGGTCAATGATATCCAACTAATGTGGGTACCAGGGCACATGGGGGTCGCAGGAAATGAGGAAGCTGATCATCTGGCCAGAACGGCCGCTTCCTCGACCCCGATAGGACCTGAGCCCTTTCTGGCAGTAGGACCAAACACCATAAAGGAAATGCTCAGAAGGGACAACAGCAAACTGAGGGAATTACACTGGCTTGGCACCATGGGCCAACGTCAGGCAAAAAGCTTATTAGGAGGTTACAATCTGTCAAGATACAGGCTTCTCATGGATCTCCCGAAAGAAAAACTAAGGATTATTACAGGTTTTTTGACGGGCCACTGCAGGCTCAGAGGGCACCTGCATAAATTAGGTATCAGGTCCAGCGACCTGTGTCGCTTTTGCGATGCAGCCAAAGAGACCCCTCTACACCTTCTTATGGAGTTTGATGCCGTTGCACGCAGGAGGTATAGGAGCATAGGGCATGTCTGGCCAAGAGAGGAGCACATACACTCACTGTCCCCGGGGTCTATTATGAAATTTATAGACACTCTGGGGCTGGTTGATGTATTGTGATAAGCTAGGGGCACAATAGACCTATTGGTCGCAGTGCCATACCCAACCAACTATCTATCTATCTATCTAGTCCAGGAATGTATGTTGGGGCTGAACTTCGTTACAAGATGAAATGAGCTTGAACTTGTGTGATTGCCAGGACACTATGGTGTTTACGGTAACGAACTGGCTAATGAATTGGCGAACTTCGGTTCTCTGGAGCGCCCAATTGGACCGCAGCCAATTGTAGGGCCAATCATAGCGGGAACGATCGGGTGCAGCAAGGATCTCATAAATAAAACTCATGAGAGCTGTTGTTGGTGCACTATTGACGCCTGCAAAATTACCAAGTGTTTCCTGAAAAGGCTTGACAGGGTGGTAACAAAATTTCTTCTCGGACAAAGAAAGAGGGATCTACGAGCCTTGGTAGGACTGATTACGGGGCACACTCCATGGGGACGACAATTGGTCACCGTAGGCATCATCGGCAATCCACTGTGTACATCGTGTTTGGAGGACAAGGATAGTACAGAACATTTTCTCTGCCGCTGTCCGGCCCTCGCCAGACTCAGATGGTACATTTTTGGGTCGGATGTACTGAGAATGGACGACGTATATTCTCTTTCCCTCAACAGACTGCTCAAATTCATAAAGAAAAAAACCTTTTTTCGATAGTTTTTTTTTGAATCTTGCTTTGACCAGGTCTTAAACTCAGGCCCTGGTAGCGTGCACTGCTTGCCACTACACCACAGCGGCCGCGAAAAATCGCCATAACTGCTCAAAATAAGGCGGGTCTATTATTTCTGTGTACATATATATTTTTCGGATTATATGATTCGAAAATATTTTTGACGAAGGTTGCCATCAGCCTAGGAATTAAAAATGAATTTAACGTGCAAGTTAAATGAAATTTTACAAATACTAAAAATGTGCAAGTTTGCGAGTATGTTTGTTGCTCTTTCTATTTATAAAATTTGGCATAGAGATAGCTTATGATTTAGAGTTACATATGGTATATTTCTTGGATAGAGCTGCCACGTATTTAAAAATTTAAAGGGAGCTACTACAATATGTGTGGGAAACGAATGTGGTTTAGGAAAGCTTTATTTTTTTAATATTTTGAAAAGGGTTGCCAACTGTTTAAGCGTTAAATTCACCTTAATGAAATATTACAACATGGATTTCAACGAAACTCTTATTACGAAAACCGAGTTTCACGTGTTTAGAAATTGAAAATCAATTACATAAGTGAACATTTGTAAAAGGGAATATTTATTCTGCTTAAACTAAAGGAAGTATGGCTATGAGAAAAATATTGAAACAAGATGAGTTATGGCATAATTCATAAAAAGTAAAGTAGGTTTAAAGAGCTTTATAAAATGACGTTTTCATACATTTTTCATTTTATAAATCTTTTTTAAAGCTACTTTATTTTTTATGAATTATTTATAGCATTAATCAGGCAATTAATTTAAAAAATGTATATAGTGTATATAAAGACTACCCACCATATTTTGGAACCTCGAGACAAAAAGCAAATTTTTGAGAATAAATTTATTATTTTCGTTGATTTAATTTTTTTCTTTTTTTGTTACATTTGAGATCATAAGATTTTACCAAAACTCACGCTAGCGGAGCTGCGAGCAAAAGCTTCGTCATACCAAACTTCCTCTTTTCTGTTTCCTCTATATTTCTTAGATAAACAGTTAATTTTTCTTTCTTCTTCTACTTGCAGGTTGTAAACTCGCGCCGTGAAACCGATGCTGGCGTCTATTGGTGTGAGGCCAAAAATGAGTTGGGTGTGGCGCGGAGTCGAAATGCGACATTACAGGTTGCCGGTGAGTTAACAAAAAATCGTTGGCGGCTAAATTTAAAAAGAAAACACATATCTACATGCATACAAATACACCAAAGCAAATTGCAAATATTTAAATGCATATGGCGCTGCTTAGAGCCGCGCACCATTGTGATGGGGTTAAAGCGCAAGCGACCAAAATAAATAGAAAAAAAATAATATTTGCAAATAAAATTAAAGATAACGAACGCTCAAATCGAGTCAACCAAGTCAACGGAACGACGCGACACCAAAGACTTGAGACACCTTAGTACCTCAGACAGAACATGTGTATGTGTTTGTGCCTATGCACCGCAAGCGACTTTTGCGAATTTTAGCTACCTTGTCACCGCCTGAGTGTCACTGCTGCCTTTTTGCAACCTACGCTGCATTGCACTGCTGTCAGCTCAAATAACTGTAATTTCTTCAACAGAATTCTTGCGAATATTTTCTGTATGCTGCTTTTCTTGCGCTACCGCCTTGGGTTACGTTATGTGAAATTTATGCAAAGTTGCTTGGTTGGGTTACAAAAAATTTGTTTGCCGCACGAGTTGAAGGTGGGTGGGTTGGTTGTGTACCTATGTATGTGCATTTGTGGCATGCCACTTTAGTCTTCTCATAACCCGCTCCACATTCTCTATCTCTCTCTCTCTCTCCCGCTCCCTTTGCTGTGCATCATATGTAACCAGTTTTCCACCTGAGTGCGCGCATACTTGATTTCCCTTACTTTAGCTGGTTTAAAGATACACAGAGCACCTGAAATGATACTGCCACAAAGTTTTCGTACCCTTTTGTTGCTACACACAAACTTCCAACAAGACTCCATATGCTCCGGTGCAAGTGCACCCAATAAGCTAGCGTCTTTTGCTTATTGAATACCTGGTGTAGCTAATTTCTGTCAATATTTTTTACTCCTTTTATACTTTGCTGTATTTGCTGCCATTTTTCACTGTTTCCCTTTTCTGCTGGTTTCACTTTGTGTGCACCTTTTTTCAATTTCTTATTTCTTCTGCAAATAGCTTGGGGTGTATTTTTCAATATTTGCATGAAAATCACGAAAAGCACGTCGATGCTGGCCGTGTGTCAGTTTTAGTAATCGAAGAGCGAAGCACAACCAGCGCAGCCAGCACTTTAGTAACTGTAATACATTGTAAAGCATAAACCGTTAGCATTTTTAATAAGTGCATGCACGCACACACCGACACACCCACACATAGCTGTGTGTGTATCCGTGCAAAAAATCCGGATTCTGCTCATCTCAGCTGTGCAAACGCTTTTGGAATTATAAAATTTTTTACTCCTTTCAGTCCCTTGGGCGTTTGGTCTATTTTTTTTTTATAGTATTATTTTTTGTCCCAGCTTGCCAATCTATGCAATTTCCAATCAAATCTCTGTCATGCTCCCTCTCCTTCCCCATTTCTTCTTCCTCCCTCACCTCATTTGCACTTTTATTTGTTTGTGGTTATATTTCTGCTCAATTTTTCGAGCTCAAAAGGTTAATTCTAGTTGCCGTAGAATTGTTGCACGTACTCTCTAGCAAAGTAAGTAACCATCGCCATTGCTGCAACAGCTGACTACCAATGCTGGCACCTACTTTACGTCTACTCAAGCGCCGATACAAGTCGTGCATATTTTATAGGAGCACATATTTTATTAGTGACTAGCTATTTTCATGCTCCTTCCCCAGCAACTGGTGTTGCAGTGCTGGTGTGTGCTTGTCGTTCATGCCCCTTGCAAGTTGCCACAGCCAGGTACGATTTATATCTAAACTCCTACGTACGCTTATATATTTGCTTGCGATATTGTCATGCAGCTCGTTGCTCGTTATTGGTAATGGTATTCATGTAACTTAAGTCAACTTAAATCGATAAAAAGTATGGAGATTCTTTTGCTTTATCGTCAGTGAAATGGTTATGCAAATATTGTCGTGGAATATTTACATGGTAACACATTATTTTTTTTTTGGAGCGAAAAGCGCAAATTGGGTTAAGTGTTTGTTATATAAATGGAAAATACTTAGATAATTGGCTTTACAGGTTGGCATCAAAGGTTGGAAATGTAAACAGAACGCGACTGGGTTGTGTTGCTTATTATTGAATTGGCTTAATTTTCAGTCCATAGGGTTGCTTATAATAAGTATTAAATACATTGTAATGGGTTAGTATTGATTTGGAATGGGGTAAGCGGGGCGGTTATGGTTGCACGAAAACATGAGCAATAGAAGTATGTATCTGCGAAATATATCAAATTGTTTAGAGAATTGAGTTACACAAGAAGAAAAGTTTGCTTTAAGGGTACTCAGCTACAGCTATAGCCACCAATTGCCAGAGATCGACCTTAAAGAATATTTTATTGGAGGTATTTCAATCTTACTGCGAAATATTTTCAAGAATGCCCTTCTTCAGAATTTTATAGAATAACGCCCTATTTCAGAATTCGACTCGAAAATTCCCTGTCTCAGGTTCCGCTTCAAAAACGCCCTATATCAACACAGTTTCAATATATTTTCAGTTGACGTAGTTTTCTACATTTTCCTTTTTCTTTTTTCGAATATCTAGTAAACGGTTTACGGTTTTTATTGCAATCTTTGTGAGAAGTTTTGGGATTGGATACGTTTATTTTTGGCTTTTGACTTTATTGGTTTAGTGGTAGATTTCTACGACAGCACGTTTTACATGTGCTGGCACCAAAAATTACATTTAAATAGTTTGTCTCGTCGACTACAATGAAAAAAGTAATATAGGTAAAAAAGTAGGTGCGCCTGGGCCACACTGAAGAAGTGAAACTTACGTTACATATATATTTTGTCTCATAACCAATATACATACATATGTCCATACATATATACATCTGTTTTTGCTTAGGGTTATATTTTCTGTCTTTTTTTTTATCTATATCCCTACCTCTACCCCTGCTCGTTCTAATTACATTTATGTTATTCTGTTTTCCTTTATCTTCATTTTTATCTTTATACTCTATCGATAACAAAATCGATAGCAACATCCAACAAAATATCGATAACAAACCGATAAAAATATCGATAACAAAGTCGATGACAAATTCGATAAAAATTTCGGTAGGAAAATCGATTAAAAATATCAATAACAAAATAGATAAAAATATCGATAAACAATCGACAACAAAATCGATAACAAAAAGCTATTAGAAAATCGATAAAAATATCGGTAACAAAATCAGTAAATAATCGATAATAATATCGACAAATAATCGATAACAAAATCTATAACAATATCGATTCCAAACTGATAAAAAATTCGATAAAAACCAATAACCATATCGACATAAATATCGATAACAAAACCGATGAAAATATCGATTATTATGTCTATAAGTTCCGAAATTATCGATAACAAAACCGATAACAATATCGATAAAAATATCGATAACAAAGCGATAAACATTTCGATTACAAAATCGATAACAAAACCGATAAAAATATCGATAAGTTCCGAGAATCCCGAAAATCTCTAACATTCCAAAATAGTTCCCAGATTGAGTCTCTGTGTCTCTATCTACATTCTTTTCTCTATAAATACCTTTAGTTAAATCTATTTCCGTTGCCCCATTTCCGTATGCCAACCGCCGCTAAAGAATTTTCTCTTCAAAAACGCAACCAGAAGAACCGATATATACACCAAAGAAAGTGCTGCTGTGCCGCTAATCTTGTCGCTTGTGTATGTCTGATCGGCTCGTATAATTAACTATTTTATTGCTAAAATGTCATTTAACTGTTCAATCCGAATACATGAATAACAGTTTTTTATTAGAAATCCAACCAAAAACTTAGTTTATTTCTTTGAAATCTACTTATATAATATGTCAAGTAGAAAATTACGTCAAAGGAAGTTAACGTGTGTAAATTTTAAGGTCGTTTTGAGATAGTGAGTTCTCTCCATTTTTTGGAATCGAGGAACCTTAGCCACTCGTTTTGGAAACTTTGCAGTTGCGCTTAAATCGCTTATAAATCTTATACTCAGCAGTTTATGCAGAGTAAATGCCTTACTGATGTAGGTTATTTTTCATCGAAGCAGCTCCTAAAGTAGTCAAATTGGTGGACCCCGCTGCATTCTGCATGTCTTTCTATCAAGATCTCCTTATATAAACATTTTTATATGTATATCTGTTTGTATGTATATATATTCATAGGTTTCTCGGAAACGGCTCGAAAATGGTCCTGAAGAAGTTTTGAAAACGTCGTAAACTTGTCCGGAAAGGATTCCGAACAAATCTTCTGCAAACGGTCTCGAAATAATCCATACTAGTCCCGAAATGGTCCTCAAATAGTCGTGAACTATCCGGAACTTGTTTTGAACTAGTCCCGAAATTAACCAAAATTTGTTCTGAACAGGTCCCAAAATTGTTCTGATCTAGCACCGAAATTAATCTTAAATAGTCCAGACTCGATATGATCAGCAGGCTGGAGTGAGTGCAACAAGCTGGCCGCATTGAAATAAGTGGGGCGCTTGGGAGCACTCGCACTCTGGCTTTTAACGTTATGCTTAACATAGCGCTTGTCGATATCGCAGGTAAAGTGGCTTCAGCTACGGTGGCGGTCAGACGTATGGGCACCGGTTGTCTGGACACTCAAGTCTTCTCGGGGCTTCTATCTCTTTCCGGGTAACACAGATCACTGCGTCCTAGCCTGGCATCAGCTAGCTCTTTCTCAACGCATATCCCATCTAGGATGAGTGGATGGAAGGCGGTGGCTGGAGGGAGGCAGCGTTGAACTTTGGCACGGATGGGTCGAAGCTTGACGGAAGGGTCGGTGGAGCGGCTTTTTCCAGGGAGCTCTCCATCAACCTTAAATGTTGGCCTCCAGCAATGGGCTTCGTTTTCTGCATAAACGTCCACAGTCTGGTAATCAGCCAAATCTGACTGTATGAGTAAGTAGTACATGCAACCTCTATGTGTTAGGCGTGCCTGCTATTCTTTTGGGGATTTTCAACTTTCACTATTAGCGTTAGCGAATGTTGGAGTCCGATT